CTCTTATAGGTTCTTGTGGTTGGTGTAGGGCCGGACTAAGAATATAGCAAGGGTGGAAAGGGGTTTGAGAGAGTTTATAGAAGAGCAGTAGAGTGAGTCCAGAGCGGAAGTAAGAATGTGACATGGGCTTGAGGGAGTTTAGAGAGACTGGAGAGGAAGTTAGAATGGAGATGGAGTGGAGAGGGGGATGAGAGAGTTAGAGAGGAACAGTACAGCCAGTCTAGAGAGGGATGTGACCCACGACTAGACAGGATTGATAGAGGAGTAGAGAGAGGAATGATAAAGACAGAATATAGGGAGATTGAACGTGAAAGGGAATAGTTAGAACACATGTGTCAAACACAAGGCCCGCGGGCCAAATCCGTCCCGCCAGGCCTTGCAATGTGGCCCGCACCGCGCTGTCATCACTGCACTCCGCTGTGTTTCCATCACAATGACAGTTTATGACTGTTCAGTAAACCATTCGGCCCGCGATTTAGGCTGGATTTTAGATTTTGGCCCCTTCTCTGATTGAGTTCGACACCCCTAAGAACATGGAGATTGGATTGAGAGAGAGAAGCATAGGGATATAGGAAAGATGAGATGAAAGTGACTGTGTAGAGACTAGAGACAGGCACAAGAGAGGAAGGAAGGACTACAAAGAGGTCGGAGAGACGAGAAAGAGCAGTAGGAAAGACTAGAGCGAGAGAACGGAAGGAGAGACTAGAGAGCAGGAGAGACTAGAGCTAGAGAACGGAAGGAGAGTTTAGAGAGGTGAGGCTAGAGCGAGAGTGGATGGAGAGTCTAGAGCGAGAGAGCGGAAGGAGAGTCTAGAGCGAGAGAGCGGAAGGAGAGTCTAGTGGGCAGGAGAGACTAGAGCGAGAGAGGGGAAGGGGAGTCTAGAGAGAGAGCAGGAGAGTCTAGAGAGAGAGAGAGAGCAGAAGGAGAGTCTGGAGTGAGAGAGTGGATGGAGAGACTAGAGCGAGAGAGTGGATGGAGAGTCTAGAGCGAGAGCACAAGAACGAGAGAGCGGAAGGTGAGTCTAGAGCGAGAGAGTGCAAGGAGAGTCTAGAGAGCAGGAGAGAATAGAGCGAGAGAGCGATGGAGAGTAGAGTGAGAGAGTGGAAGGAGAGATTAGAGCGAGAGAGCAAATGGAGATTTTAGAACGAGAGCAGAGGAGAGTCTAGTGGCAGTAGAGACTAGAGCGAGAGAGCCGTAGGTGAGTCTAGAGCAAGAGAGCGGAAGGAGAGTCTAGCAGGTAGGGGAGACTAGAGAGAGCGGAAGGACAGTCTAGAGAGCGGATGGAGAGTTTAGAGCGAGAGAGCTGATGGAGATTCTAGAACGAGAGAGCGGAAAGAGAGTCTAGAAAGCAGGAGAGACTAGATCAAGAGAGCGCAAGGAGAGTCTTGAGCGAGAGAGCTCAAGGAGAGTTTAGAGAGCAGGAGAGAATAGAGCGAGAGAGCCGAAGGAGAGTCTAGAGCGAGAGACGGGAACGAGAGTCTAGAGAGCGGATGGAGAGTCTAGAGCGAGTGAGCAGAAGGAGAGTCTAGTGGGTAGGAGAGATTAGAGCGAGAGCGCGCAAGGAGAGTCTAGAGAGGAGAGACTAGAACGAGAGAGCGGAAGGTGAGCCTAGAGCGAGAGCGCGGAAGGAGAGATTAGAGCGAGATAGCAGATGGAGATTCTAAAACGAGAGATCAGAAGGAGAGTCTAGAGAGCAGGAGAGACTAGAGCAAGAGAGCGATGGAGAGTAGAGCACAGGAAAGACTTGATCGAGAGCGGAAGGAGAGTCTAGAGCTGAGAGCGGAAGAGAGTCTTCAGAACAGGAGAGACTAGAGTGAGAGTGGAAGGAGAAAGTAGAGCGAGAGAGTGGAAGGAGAGTCTAGAGAACGGAAGGAGAGACTAGAGCGAGAGAGTGGAAGGAGAGTCTAGAGAGCTGGAGAGAATAGAGCGAGAGAGCGATGGAGAGACTAGTGCGCAGGAGAGACTTGAGCGAGAGTTGAAGGAGAGTCTCGAGCGAGAGAGCGGAAGGAGAGACTAGAGCGAGAGAGCGATGGAGAGTAGAGCGAGAGGCTGAAGGAGAGTCAAGAGTGAGAGAGTGGAAGGATAGTCTACAGCGAGAGAGCAAAAGGAGAGTCTAGAGTAGGGGTGTCGAACTCAATCAGAGAAGGGGCCAAAATCTAAAATCCAGCCTAAATCGTGGGCCGAATGGTTTACTGAACAGTCATAAACTGTCATTGTGATGGAAACGCAGCGGAGTGCAGTGATGACAGCGCGGTGCGGGCCACATTGCAAGGCCTGGCGGGACGGATTTGGCCCGAGGGCCTTGTGTTTGACACATGTGGTCTAGAGAGAGATGGCGGAAGGAGAGTCTAGAGCACGTATCAAACACAAGGCCCGCAGGCCAAATCCATCCCGCCAGGCCTTGCAATGTGGCCCGCACCGCGCTGTCATCACTGCACTCCGCTGCGTTTCCATCACAATGACAGTTTATGACTGTTCAGTAAACCATTCGGCCCACGATTTAGGCTGGATTTTAGATTTTGGCCCCTTCTCTGATTGAGTTCAACACCCCTAGTCTAGAGTGAGAGACCGGAACGAGAGTCTAGAGAGCGATGGAGAGTAGAGCGAGAGGGCTGAAGGAGAGTCAAGAGAGAGAGTGGAAGGATAGTCTAGAGAGGAGAGACTAGAGCGAGAGTGGAATGAGAGTCTAGATCGAGAGAGCGCAAGGAGAGTCTAGAGAGCGGAAGGTGAGACTAGAGCGAGAGCGCAGAAGGAGAGTCTAGAGCGAGAGCGAAAGGTGAGACTAGAGCCAGAGTGGATGGAGAGTTTAGAGCGAGAGTACGGAAGGAGAGATGTCAGCAAGAGAGCGGATGGAGATTCTAGAACGAGAGAGCAGAGGAGAGTCTAGAGAGCAGGAGAGAATAGAGCGAGAGATCGGATGGAGAGTCTAGAGCAAGAGAGCGATGGAGAGTAGAGCGAGAGGGCTGAAGGAGAGTCAGAGAGAGAGAGTGGAAGGATAGTCTAGAGAGGAGAGACTAGAGCGAAAGCGGAATGAGAGTAGAGCGAGAGAGCGGAAGGAGAGACTAGAGCGAGAGAGCGCAAGGAGAGTCTATAGAGCGGAAGGTGAGACTAGAGCGAGAGTGAAAGGTGAGTCTAGAGCGAGAGAGCGGAAAGTGAGTCTAGAGCGAGAGAACGGAAGGAGAGACTAGAGCGAGAGAGCAGATGGGGAGTCTAGAGCAAGAGATCAGGAGAGTCTAGAGAGCAGGAGAGACTAGAGCGAGAGTGCGGAAGGAGAGTCTAGAGTGAGTGAGCAGAAGGAGAGTCTAGAGAGTGTGCACAAGAAGAGTCTAGAGCTAGAGAGCAGATGGAGAGAGGAGAGCGGAAGGAGAGTCTACACTCGAGTGAGAGACCGGAAAGAGAGTCTAGAGAGCGGATGGAGAGTTTAGAGCGAGAGTGCGGAAGGAGAGTCTATACCGAGAGTGCGGAAGGAGAGTCTATACCGAGAGTGCGGAAGGAGAAAGTAGAGCGACAGAGTGGAAGGAGAGTCTAGAGAGTGCAAGGAGAGTCTATACCGAGAGAGCGGAAGGAAAGAGTAGAGCGAGAGAGCGGAAGGAAAGTCTAGAGCGAGAGAATAGAAGGAGAGTCTAGCGAGCAGGAGAGAGCAGAGCGAGAGTGGAAGGAGAGTCTAGAGCGAGAGCGCAAACTGCGAGTCTAGAGGGAGAGGTCACAGAGACTAGGGTGAGAGCTGAAGCAGAGACTAGAGAAAGCCATCCTAGTTTGTAGAGCAAGGAGTGGAAGAGAGAAAGGCAGGAGCTGCTAGAGAGAAGATAGAGAGGGTGTTTGGTGAGACTAGAGCGAGAGGTGCGTCAGAGAAACGTATGAGAGACTAGAGAGAGCAGAAGGATGGACTAGAGAGAGGACGGAGAGACTGGAGAGAGTGAGGTAGGCGAGGTGAGTCACAGTAAGGGGACAATAAATAGAGAAAGGAGGAGTGGGAGAAGTAGGAAGGAGAGACCAGAGAGGCATCAGAGAGAGGAGAGAGGGACAGACTGCAGGGACAGTAAAGAAGGTGATCTGAGTGGTTGTCAGGGAAGATTGGGAAAAGTTAGGGCAGAGAGGCAGGGTGAGAAAAGCAGGTGGTGATGGAGCTATTGGAGCGAAGAAAGGGGAGTGGGGGAGGTGTGGAGATCTCTGATGGTGGCAGAGGGGAAGTACAGGACACAGAGGAGACTGGACAGAGGGATAGAGGAGAGAGCCTGTGCCCTACAAGGTGGAGAGGAGAGTTGGAGGCATAAAAGAGGGAGGGGAAGAGTAAGCGGCCCAGGAGGCCTTAGAGGAGTGAGGTACTTGCCGGACTCCAGGGCTCTCCCCGGCTGCCCCTCTTGGCTTTTCCTGTGCCGTGGTCCCGATGGTTGCGGGAACCCTGTCCTCCGGATTTCTGTGCCACCGCTGTCACATAATGGGATGGGCACCCTCCAACCCTCTCCCTCCCCTCTGGTCTGATGGTGACCTGCCCCCATCCTCATGTCCAGAAGTCAGCTCATTAGTGTAATGAACCTTATCAGTCTCAATTCGTAGGTTAACCTAGGGGTTTGGGGAGATGTGAGCCAGGAACTGTGGACAAACACCAGATGTTTTTCTTATATTGTAGATCATAGTGTCACAGAAAGTCTAATTTACTGTGGTCTAGTTGGATACAAGGACAGTGCCTGCGTGAGCATCACCCCCACACTGGTGCCACTCTCTGCTGCGTATTGCCGTTTAGAGGCCTGGGGTTTCATTCATCCGAGATGCCTGTGCCAGTGCCAGAGACAGCATGGAGAGGCTAGAGAGGGGAAGGAAAGAACGAATACACACTCAGACCACTGTAAACACAATTCTGACCAACGTCGTGAAGGTGCATGGTTGGTGTGAGTTTCCCTGCGGATGACTCCTACAATGTGTGGTGAGAATAACTGCCTGTGTCCTCCTGCATCACATGAACTCGTCATGGCAGAGCGAATAGCTGTGTGCCGTTTCAGGGGTCAGTGTCATTCACGGACGTGACCGTGGACTTCACCCAGGAGGAGTGGGAGCAGCTGGACCCGGCGCAGAGGATCCTGTACATGGATGTGATGCTGGAGAACTACAGCAACCTGCTGTCCGTGGGTAAGGACAGCTCCCTGCGTCCGCCTTTACCCAGGAGCGGTTATGCGCTTCCTCAGGTACCGAGGAACGAGCTGCTCAGTTACTGAATGGTTTGGCCTCAGGCTTCACACGTCACAGCTGAGCGTGAAGATTAAGTTCTAAAACCCACGCAGTTAGGAGCTGTGACCAAACCAGATGTGGTTTTTGGGGTGGAGCAGCTGGAGCTGTGCTGGCAGTTAGAACTGCAGTTGAGAACTCTCCAGGGAAGCTGTGGAGGGAGAATCAGAAGCCACTAGAAGTAATATCCCAAGGATTATGAGTTGGTACTTTCAAATATTAACACTTTTCCCCCCAAAAAAATCCCTAAACATTTAGAGACTGCTGCCAACAGATGAGTACTGTGCCCCAGCTGTGTGAGTACCGTGTATTTAGCTCAGGCCATTGGCACGGTGGCCTCAGGGAAATAGATTTCAGTCCAGGAGAGACGTCCTGTCTGCACACAGGTGGCGGGGGCATCACATGACCAGTGATGCCCAGAGCAGGTGAAGGTTATGTAAGACCGAGGTGGAGGCGGAGTAGTCTGGTCCTTAATGTCCCTTCAAATAAAAGTAGGGACAAGACTGGTTTGGGGAAGAAGTTAAGCATATTAGAAGGAAAGAGAAAGATATGATATAATAATGAAAATACATTCTGTCTCCAACAGCTTCAATAGAAAGAAAACAATGAAAATACATTCTGTCTCCAACAGCTTCAATAGAAAGAAAACAATGAGCCCTCGCCAGATTGGCTCAGGGGATAGAGCGTCAGCCTGCGGACTGAAGGGTCCCAGGTTCGATTCTGGTCCAGGGCACATACCTCAGTTGCAAGCTCCTGGCCCTGGTTGGGGGTATGTGGGACGCAACCAATCAATACGTCTCTCTCATATCTGTATTCCCTCTGTCTCTCCCTCTTCTTCCCATTCTCCCTAAAAATCAATGGAAAACATCCTCGGGTGAAGATTAAATTAAATTGAATTAAAAAAAAAAACACAATGAAAGCAGCAGTAGAATTGAATCTATTAAGAGATCTTGGGTCCTTGCATCAATTTTCTGTTTCCTACAGAAAATGAGTTTCTGGGCCTTTTCATTCACTTGCAAAGTCTTCCTTTAAAGCAGCTATTTTCAACCTTTTCATCTCATGGCACACATCAGTTAATTTAGAAAATTCTGCAGCACACCTTTGATTCATTCACACCAGACAGCGATTGTGTTGGCTGTTGTCGTTTTTAAATTTGACAATCTAAGGAAAAAGTGGTCAGTGCCCTGACTAGTCAGGTTTGCATGTTTTAACTTCTTGTGGCACATCGGTGCGCTGCAGCACAGCGGCGGGACTCGCTGCTCTTTAATACGATTGTTTCTGTCAAACAGAAATGCCGCCTGTAGGAAGGGAGAAGGCGGGGAGAGAGCCTGGGCGCATATAGACGAGGTGCTGGCCCAGCCACAGGGAAGCAGAGGCAGAGACTCAGGTCTGCCTGTGTCCTCTCCTTTACCGTCTTCCTCTGTGCTAACTGTGCAGCGTCCCTGAGGACAGTCCTTCGCCCCTGCATTGCCAGCCTTCCCACACGGTGTGTTTCCTGTTGCTGCCCCGCGGTTTTATTTCACGTTACCCCTCCGTAGGTCACTGTGCGATCTGGCGATGCTACTTGTGTTCACTGTCAGTTTCTGCTTCCTTTATTGCCGCCACGGGCTCTTTCCCCCGCCCCTTTTTCTTTCAAAGTTTAAGAGCAAGGACAAATTTGCACTGGGGGACGCAATTCTGGAGAACTGGGTCCCGGACTGAAAAGGCAGCCAAGGAGGGCGTGGTGGGACGTTGTGTGACATAGCGGAGGCCTGACGGCGTGTCTCCCTGTGCTCTCTCCCAGAGGTGTGGACGGCCGACGACCGGGCGCAGCGGGAGCTGGGTGACCCCGAGGAGCAGGCGAGGCCGTACATCATCTGCCAGCACCAAACCCCCGTCGAGGAAAGAAGTGATCTCTTTGAAAAACCACTCAGTCTGAGCGCGGACTTTGTTTCTCTAAGACAAGTGCCCTATAAATATGACTTATATGAAAAGACTCTGAAATACAGTTCAGACTTACTGAACGGTAACAGCTATATAAGGAAGCAGGCTGATGAGTATAACGAATTTGGAAAAGCCCTTCTCTATCTAAAGCAAGAGAAAACTCATCCTGAAATGGAATATGCAGAATATAACAAAATTGAGAGAGCTTTCAGCCACAAAGAAGCCATTTTTAAACATCAGAAAATTAGAAATTTGGTACAACCCTTCCTTTGTAATTACTGCGACAAGGCTTTCTCCTTTAAGTCACTCCTCATCAGTCATAAGAGAATACATACGGGAGAAAAACCGTATGAGTGCAATGTCTGTAAGAAGACCTTCTCCCACAAGGCCAACCTCATCAAGCATCAGAGAATCCACACCGGGGAGAAACCCTTCGAATGTCTCGAATGTGGAAAAGCCTTCACCCACCAGTCCAACCTCATCGTACACCAGCGGGCACACATGGAGAAGAAGCCCTATGAGTGCGGCGAGTGTGGCAAGACCTTTGCCCAGAAGTTCGAACTCACGACACACCAGAGAATTCACACCGGGGAGCGACCCTACGAGTGTAATGAATGTGCAAAAACCTTCTTCAAGAAATCAAACCTCATCATACATCAGAAAATTCACACGGGGGAGAAGCGCTACGAGTGCAGCGAGTGTGGGAAATCCTTCATCCAGAACTCGCAGCTCATCATACACATGAGGACGCACACGGGGGAGAAGCCCTACGAGTGTACGGAATGCGGCAAAACGTTCAGCCAGCGGTCAACTCTCAGGCTACACCTGCGGATCCACACGGGGGAGAAGCCATACGAGTGTTCCCAGTGCGGGAAGGCCTTCAGCAGGAAGTCCCGACTCAGCATCCACGTCAGAGTTCACATAGATGGCAAACCCTGACCGGCAGCAGGTCGGACCGTGCAAAACCCTCCCACCCACCGGAGCCCTTCGGTGGGGTAGAAACCTCCTGAGGTCCCGAGGGAGCATGGGAATTCATACCGAGAGACCATCCATCAGCTCCAAAACGCCAAATTAGGGTTCCCTGCAGACAGCGGTACTGAAAGTTAGATATGAGGCCCAACTGAAGAACACAGACCAAGAATATCGCACTGTTAATAGACATGCTTAACTGTGTCACAGTGAGATTTTTAGAACCTTGAATGATTTAAACCTTGAATGAATTTAAGGATGAAATTGTCTGGGAAACAGCAGAAAGGATATACAGACAGTACCTAGGGATAGAGTGGTTGTGTGCGATTATGCCACAAAACCACAAAAGTATGTTTTAGATCTGCCCGTATGAATTTTAACAGTCACTGGGAGTTTGAAATTTTTCTAATAATTAGGACATATCAAACAAGATTTTCCTTACTAAATATCACGTTTTGTTTTGTTTTTACAATTCAGTATGCATTCCAGATGAAATAGGGAACATATTTTAAGAGGCATGTAACACATGTTCTGCTTGCTGGTAAATGGAAGTTGGTGTGGCCATTGTTAATGAGCTGCCTCTTTTTTTCCTTTTTTTTTAAATATATATTTTATTGATTTTTTACAGAGGAGGAGGAGAGAGGGATAGAGAGCTAGAAATGTCGATGAGAGAGAAACATCGACCAGCTGCCTCTTGCACACCCCCTACTGGGGACATGCCCGCAACCAAGCTACATGCCCTTGACCGGAATCGAACCTGGGACCTTTCAGTCCGCAGACCGACGCTCTTACCACTGAGCCAAACCGGTTTCGGCTGAGTTGCCTCTTAATAAACAGAAGAGAGTGGTGAAGTTTTAACCTGCTTCTGGGCTCCCTGAAGCATTTCTACAAGCATCACTTACATGATTATGCAAACGTAAGATAAGAAGAGGTTAAAAGTGAGGAGGCAGCTGTGGGCTGTTCCTCAGGCTGCACCACAGGTAAAAATGGGCCACAGAGGAGATCCATACCCATCATGCTGGGGTTCTCTCTCCTGGCTGCTTACACACAAATGCATGTCAGTTACCAAATGTGTAACCAGAAACCACTTGTCTTTTTGTGTTTCCCTGTTCCTCTTAATATTTTATGAATTGTCTTGTGAAAAATGGTAGGATGTGTATGCAGTACACAAACGTTAGTTACCTTTCAGAGACTTTAAAGGGAGTATTACTTTAAGAAAACTGTCACATGCCTCGTTGCTTTTTAAATTTCTATGTGCACGGTCCATTTTAGAGAGAGACTTTGGCTGCTCTGTTCAGGGGATGCACTTCTACTTCCTTGAGTTTCACGATCATGGCTCAGTGTAAGTTACGCCTTTCCAGGAGAGGTTCACAAACAGCTTTGTAAGTTATACTGTTCGGTAATCTCTCCATCTATTGTGTAATTCAGAAATATGTCATCTGAGGCTTGATTTCAGATTCACACATTCCTTCTTTTCCCCCATCGCAAATCATGCATTAGAATTGTAAATGACAACTGAAACTGGCTTAAAAAATTTTTTGAAGACCATTGATGTGCTATGACTCTGAATGTGAGTGACTCTGAACAAATTTACTGAAACAGCCATAGTCCAATAAGTCTTTTAAGTTGTCAGCTGATCTACTGGCAGCCAGGAAGCAGAGAAGGGTAATTTCATGATCTGCGGTGAGAGTTAACTGTGAGGGCCTCCTTGGGAATCATTGTGGCTCTGTCCTTTTACTTTAAAAATATACATTCTCCTCCACCCAGCACTCATTTTTGGGAACCTATCCCTGAGAAAAAACTAAAGTGCCAGGACTTGAGATTATGTTTGTCAGTACATATTGTGTGTTTTGGTAAGGAAAAAGGAAACAGTGTAAATGACCCCCAGTGGGAATGATTGAATGAATTGTGGTGAGAACGGATCATGGTTGATGGCATTCTACAGAAAATGTGTCGGAGCAGCTCCTCCAGGTCACTCGAGGGCAGCTGGAGGGGAGAGTATCAAATTTTCTAAAATAAACATCTAAGAACCTTACGTGTGTGTGTGTGTGTGTGTTTGTATGTGACTTGATGGCCCCGGAGAACAAGGTTCTCGTAAGTCAGAAATAGAATTGGAAAATCGATCATGCATTCCTTAGTCCCTAAATTCACACTCATACTGAAGCCACACATAACCCATTAAAATGGACATGTTACTAACATGAGTTAACAGCATCACGTAAGGCAAGCTCTAGCTGTGTGGCTGTGTTGTACACTTGAGCTCTTTCTCAACAAAAGCACGTATCTGACTTTACAAGCTCGCTCAGTGTGAGTTACGAAGTCCAAACGCTCTGTGGACACACACACACACACACACACAACAGCAGCCGCGGCAATCACAGGTGTGACGACTCCTCTCTGAGCTCTTCGCTCCCGGGCCTGGACGTTCAGATCGGAACCTCTAACTGTTGTTTAAGTGTGTTGTCGTCATGATCCAAAGTGGTTTTAGCTGAAAGGTCTTCTAAAGATGGAGCCTGTATCCGACCCTACGGCTGTGTTTCTTTTATCCCCTCAGTAAGCCGAGGCCAGGAGGCAGGCCCTTTGCACAAGAAGACCCAGCTCACAGGTGTTTCCAGACTCAGGCCTGGACCTGTCTGACCCCAAAGCCACCCCCACTGCGCCCGACTCCAGGGCCTGTTCTTATCCCACTGATACTTTCCTTTTGGAGACTCTATTTCCATAACTATCTCATAACCAAAGTGCTTCAGCACTTCCTTTTTCATGTTTTTTAAATCTAAAGTTGGGGATTGTCTATTTGATATAATTCTCATGTGAATAAATCTTGGTGATTCTGAGGACTAGTCAGTCATAAGGGGAATAAGGTGACGAATGACATTCTAGGCAAGAGGCACAGTTTCCAAGAACGAGAAAATGTGAGACGCTGGGCCCTCAGTGTGGGGGACTCAGTGGGATGCAGCTGACGGTTCAGCCCCAGCCACCCATGCTGGCTCCTGTCCCACTGGCTCCCCCGGCTGCAGTGTCTTCTCCTCTTCCGCTGAGTGGCCAGCCAAGCCCTGGCCTCCACCCCCTGGCCTGCTTGGTTACCTGACTCCAGTCAAGTCCTGCGGCCAAAGTACAATGCACTCTGGTCTCTTAAGTCTTCCAACTCCCCCTGCTTTACGCTCTGCTGCTGTTGAAAAGGGAAGGCCATCGCTCATCCTGCTGTGGCTGGATGTGGGACACGGCTGGGACCCTCTCCCCCATTTTCGAGCTCTTGGCTAACATTGGTGACCTTGTCCCACAAGCACAGCTGGACATCCCAACACCTCAGCACTGACAGAACTAGATGAAAATGCAATACAGATAGAACACATGAACAGCATACCACATGTTCTCTGACCACAACAGGTTTCCATTGGAAACCAGTAACATGGTAGCTGCAGTCGAGACACCGGACAGGTGGGGATTTTGTTGTAAAACAGGTGACTGACAAGTTTTGAGACATCCACTTCCAACACTATTAGAAATAAACACATAGCCAGCCACTTGACTCAGTCAAGAGCCAGGCTCCTGTGCTCCCACCCTGCACAGCTTCCCTTGGTTTTTCGAGATCTCTGGAAGGCCATGTGACTTTATTTTCCCCTCAATGCACTATAATTCCTGCTTTAAAAAAAGTTTTTATTGCTTTTTACACAGAGGGGAAGGGAAAGAAAGAAACATCCATTGGCTGCCTCCTCCACGCCCCCTACTGGAGCCTGGGTATGTGTCCTGAGCAAGAATCGAACCGGCCACCTCCTGGTGCATGGGAGGATGCCAAACCAACTGAGCCACACCGGCCAGGGCTATTCCTGCTCATTTTAAAAGTCACCAATAAAGACTGAGCTCTCAAAACCCGAGGCCGCTACCCTGACAGCAGCAGAATCCCCGGGCCACAGCCTCTCCCCCCACAAACTCGCCCAGTGGCTGCCGACCTGCCGCGTACCCACCAGAACCTTTGAGTAATAAACCTTGTGGGTGTGTTTTTCTTCAAAAAGTTTCCTGATGTTATTGCTGAGGGCACCTTGCAATAATATGAACCACAAGGGCCAGGCCAGCCCCAGCGGGTCTCCCCTGAACGGCCAGAATTGAGAAACACGCCTCGTGAGGAGTCCCTGCCACCAGCGGTCACTGAGGCCTCTAGTGACCAGGAGAGGGAGGAGGACGCTCCCAGAGCCATCGGTGTTCGCACCCGCCGCCACCACTCCCCCCCCACCCCACCCCTACCCACCCCCCGCCGCCACTCCCCCCTGGATATTGATTGCCGGGAGCCTGTCCATCCTTCCCTCACGGTGACCCCAGCCAAGACTCAAAGCGAATGGAAAACAACAGCAAGGCCCAGCCGCTGTGCACCATCCGCATGGTCCCACGGTATTCACCCAATTCCACCGCGTGTGCGTGCGTGTGTGCGTGCGCGCACCAGCAGGCAATTCTGGGACACGGGCTGGGTGTCCAAAAACCACTCCGTTCTGACCCTGGAGACACAGGTTTCACAGCTAAAGGCTCAGTCCTCCAAGGGCAGCTGTAGGCCCGGTTGCTACCTGACCTTCCGCTGGGCTGTAAGTCGGAAGTTCTAGGACTCCTCCTTGGGCCCACAGAAGGTGCTACAGCAGCTCAGAACTCAGGAAACCATTTACGTGCTAGACCGCTAGTTTGTTACACAGTGATGTATATGCCCCGCGAAGAGCCGGGGGGAGAGAAGGAAGGGCCCGGGCTTCCATGCCCTCCCCAGGGGCACCCCGGACTCTCCCAGCCTCCCCGTGCTCACCATCCTGGGAGCTCTGAAGCCTGCCCCTTCGGCTTTTGTGGAGGTTTTGTGATGTGAGCACAGTTGATTCTTAAATCATCAGCCATTGGAGCCGGCCGCCCCCTCCCTGGAGGAGGCCAGCAATTAGGATTGAAAGTCCCTACTCTATATTTTATTGAGGGAGAGGAGAGGAGAGGAGAGGGATAGAGAGTTAGAAACAACAATGACGAGAGAGAAACATCCATCAGCTGTCTCCTGCACACCTCCCACTGGGGATGTGCCGGCAACTAAGGTACATGCCCTTGGCCAGAATCGAACCCGGGACCTTTCAGTCCGCAGGCCGTCACTCTATCCACTGAGCCAAACCGGTTAGGGCAAAATTCCCAACTCTAAGGGGCCCCACGAAGCTTGCAACCAGGGCAGCGATGGGCAGCAGCAGCTCATCCCGGACAAACCCGTGGAACCAATCCCCAAGGCCCCCTTTTCTCTGAGTCTTAGCCAAGCAGACCAGCCTCGGCTCACTTCCCTTTCTTATTTCACTGTCTCAGCTTTAATAAACTTCCTCTCAAGTACACAGGGACTCACATTGTGAACTTTTTCCTGCACAAAGGAAAGAGCCCACACACTATTGGCTGCCCCTAGGCAGACCCGCTCAGGTAACATTATATACACAATCACACCAAGCCAGCCCCCTCCCCCTGGGGCAAGGCCCACCACACACTTTGGAAGCTGCCCCACAGGCCATCCAGCAAGCCTCACCTTGTCACCCCTGGCCTCACGTCCCACAGAGTCCTTGGCCTCATCCGACTACACT